CCGCCCCCCGCCGCCCCCCCCCGCGCCCCCCCCCCCCCCCCGCCCCCCCCCCCCCCCCCCCCCCCCCCCCCCCCCCCCCCCCCCCCCCCATGATGAAGGAAATGAAGCGCGTCCGGGGAAATAAAGTGATTGTCGTTTGATCACATAAGGTTTCTGGGGTCCGGTGGAAATGAGAGGGGCGGGAGAATGAGAGAAGGCACCGAGTTACGGGGTAATGTGTTAAGGGATATTAGGGAGAATAGATTAGAGATGTCTGATCCAGCAAGACCAGAGTTAAAGAGAAAGAAGGCAAGTAATGTGCCAAGTAGCAGAGACAAGGGGAGCACTGGAATGGACCCAATTTATTTTATTGTAGTAACATACATAAGAACCAGTAACATCATAACAATACAATCACTTCATCTGCAACCGAATCGTCCAGAAAACACAACTCATATCGCGACCTACCCCATCCATCTTAGCCTCTCTCCACGTGGAGACCTAAGGCAGGTACTGGTCCAATCGCCGAATTTCTGCCTCTAGCAGGTCCTAAGCCGGAATCGAAGTCTTTAAAGAGGTACAACATCCTCTACGGAGTACGGAGGACAACCTCAAGTAAAGAAGAAACACCGGATATACCGGAGCCCCATCTTATACTCATTGGCCACAACGGTTTCCCCCAGCGGAGCAGCCCTCCTCCCCCCACGTCCATGGATGAGAGACTCCTCGACCAAGAACTCCTCGGCCGTGATTGGCCACCAGCCACCGTCGCTCACGGGCCATGTGTCCGCCCCTCGCATGGCGTCGCCCCAACAGCCAATGGCCGCCTGTGTGGTGGGGCCACGAAAGGTGGCGGTGGACCCGGCCCCTTCCAAAGTTGGATTGTTCCCACGGAATCTTTTCCTGTTCCTTACATGAAACTCTTTTCGGGGGGGAATCGTCTAGACCGGAAGCATCAACATCTAGATTCCATTCCGAGGAATACCTTATGTCGAATGTGTCCAGGCTAACGTCAGCCTATATCAATGGGAGTCGGCCCCTTGCGGGGGTCCAATAGGCGCAGCAATACCAATCCAGTCATTCCTCTGGTACCACACCAACGCACGTTCCCGCGATGGGGCACTCTGTTAATCTGGCTAATCTGGCTTCAACGTCTGATCGAACTCACATATGATCTGCCCACGCCAATGGGAGGAGCAATTAAACGAGCACCGACATACAATCCGACGGCACTAAGCCTGTACAGCACGTACATGGCGGGGGTGGCGACAATTACCTCTTTCAAGGGGCTCAAGAACTAATAATAATATAATAATAAATCGCATGTTCGGCCGGCATTAGGAGATAGGAAGGCTACGGAGGCCGTAGTGTATCAGTCTAATCAGGCTTGGGCTAACCAGTTACAACCCGGATTAATATAGTTCTATCGCAAATGACGTTATGGACTGTGGAGTAGATCGATTGAGCGATTTACCTGCATGTCATAGCCCTTTCGACAATGTACAACACAACAATGTACTATATACCTACCGCATCCAATATCAAATTGTCACGGTATGATGACATCGGAATGGACGTGCCCCAAAGAGGAAGGAGCATAAGCCGGAAGGATTTCGGGTGGCAGCGCAATTTGCAGAGGCAGATCCGGGGAAGTCCAGAACTTGGCTGTATACGCCTCGACGCTTAATATGTCTTATGACCGGTATGCTTTAGAGTCTATATACTAGTAGGCATTGGCAAGGCAGCCAGGTGATGTGAGACATCAGATAGCCAGGTGATGTGAGACATCAGATCACAGGGACATTTGATCTCAAATTCATACACTCCATAGTTATGTACATGCCACTATTATACCAAAGAGACCATCGGATAAACAACCCCAAACAGAATAAACCGGTGTTATCACGTGATGAATTGCGCTCTATCTGGCGTGGTTATTGTATCTTTCACCTATCATCGACCTTAGATTACTTCGAGAAAAAACTCAGAAAGGCAAAAGACTTGGCTCAATTATGTAGTTATGCACTTCAGGTTGGACATGGGGCAATCCTCACCTCGGCGGCGCCAGTGAGGTCTTTGATATCCTTGAAAATATCAAATATACATGATGAGTTGATTTTGCCCTTTCGTCTGTCGCCGCAGTTCAACATCCCAAAGACCTCTCCGCTGTGCGTATAAACCTGCAATTGAGAGTTGAAGAAGAATGGAACGGATTGAACCAATCCAGTAGGCTCGTAAGAGAATGGCTACAAGAGAATATATTAGCCATATAATAAATCTCCAATGAACAGAATATTATCTTACTCGGTTGCCTTCAACCTTATCGGCTCGGGACAATCTTCATCAAGGCCCAGTCCATCGTGATCTCTTGACCTTTCGCGTTAATTTGTGTCCGATTCAAATCGCTTCCAGCAACAATATGTCCTAAGGGTCATCCCAAATAAAAGCGTCTACGATTAGTTTCAGACCTCTTCTCGAACTCTGCGCACATATCGACATGTTAGCAGTGTCCAGCAATATTCGGTAATACCACCCACAGATTAAAATCGATAAGCCACAGGCTGATTGACCGGCGAGAAATGTCAAATCGATGTCCTAGGAAGTAACTTCCATTGTCGCGCATCGTCGTAAAGGGTTGGCGTAGTGCTTCAATGGGCCTGATTGGCGTAGATAATCCCCTATAACGATAGTGTGGCTAGGGCCCAGTCTTTGCTCAACCAGGTGGTCTTGCCGGGTATTGCTCTCAGTCGCTTCGTGAATTTGCATGTAATAAAGGCGACTGCGTTGAAGTTGTGACGGGAAACTGGCAAACCGGTGACAAAGTCAATGCATGACATCCATACGTCCTCCTTTTGGGTTGCTTCCAGCTTCAGAAATACTTCGGTTTTGTATTCTTCGATATTATCATCTATCGCGGCGATAGTATATTGGAGACCTCTGAAAGATGGATGATCAACTTTCAATACCTCTGGGGCAATGGTGTTGAGTGATTCCTTGAATCTGAGGGGGCTCTATTCCCAGCGCGAAAGCGCGGCCTGCCCAGGTGTGCTCCTGTGATTTGTAACATTTGTTGCGGGCGCTTTCCTTCTGGGGGCCAAACGGTGTGGAAGCAAGTTAGGCTATAGGTGCGCCATTCCGATTCGTTGGGTAACCGTAGCTGGATAAGACCACCCAATGTGGATGTTCCGGTCGAACTACCATGGATACCTATGCTGACACCAGGGATTCCTTCCCGTCCTTCATAAATAGGATATCAACGCTAGATTCCTGAAATTGTAAAAGTCAACTCCGAATGATCTGGCCTGCGGTATCAAAAGACCCGGTGGATGTCTTGTCAACCTCCACTATTATAGTCACAGGGTTCAGATGCCTGTCGGTATTGGTGCCATACCGCCAACATTCAATACCAGTCCACTCCTGGATATTCAGATTCGCCAGAATAGTATCGACAATTGACCTCCATTTGGAATGAATGGAGTGGGTCTGTTCAACGGGGAAACAATACAGTCCGTCGTAAAACTTCTCTTCGATAATCTCAACAGAGGTTCCAGGTAGGAGGGGCTCCAAACCGTGGTAGATCTGCTTGGCAGCCTGATACCAAAGATCAGGTTGCGGGAGATCTGGCATGAGGACAAGCAGGGTTGGAACTGGCATAGGTTCAGGGTCAACCTTTGACGTGCGGCCCTTCAGAATGACATTGGAGAATTCGATCTCGAGATCATCCAAGACTTTTTTAGCACGCGCATGGATCTGCGCTGGATCGTGAGTAAACGTGTTCTTTGTCGTCGCCGCTGGGAGAGAAGTTAAAACTGGCCCACCCGCACGATGAGAAGACTTGAGAAAGCCGCTGTGGTCAACATATAAACCTCCACCAAGTGGAGAGGAAGACGAGGTAGAAGAGAAGCTGAGCGCGTGCGCACTACCCTACTGAAGGCCGAAGATACAACTGAAGATTCAGACATTATGAATGTCTAGAGGCTGAAGAAAGCAGATCCGTAAGGATACAAGAGTCAAGGAACTGTCAAAGATGAAGTAAAGAGTTGAAGGGTTAGAGAAGACTTAAAGAGATACAAAAAATAGCCAAGAAGAGCCAGACAAGAGGTAGACAAGACAGAGAGAAGAGAGAGAGAAAAAGTGCAAGGTGAAGTAGAGGAGAGTCAAGGAAGAGGCAAAGGCAAGAGAGGTCCGAAGCCTAAACAGGAAGGAGCCTTCCAGGTTTACATAATTCACCTGGGCTGCCACCGAGCGAGATCACTAGTATCAAATTAATTGAATGCAACCCGTATTGAATGCTCGTGATGGCTTGATTGTAGAAGTTGAGGTATAAGTTGAGATGCTGCACCTATCTTCATCTAGATCAGGTGATCTCTCAATTCAACTGCACCTGTTTGGAACCGACGTGTCCGGGATAAACCCAATCGTTTGTTTCGCAGCGTTCTTTTTTTATGCCGTCCATTCCTGTTCCTTCGCGCTCTGTACAACGAGCAATTGCCAATCAATTCGGTCGGTCTCCAATTTCTCGTCTGGCTCATTGCCCGTCCCTGCAGAATCGTCGAGTCATCGCGAATAAAAATAATATCCCTGCCCCCACCATCCCCCACCAAATAATTTCTCCCCGCCGCACTCGTCAGTTTTCCTCCTCCCATCGCTCCGCCGAATCAAGCACAATGGGGAAAGAAAAGGGTACCAACTTCAACCTCAAGACCCCGAAGGGCACCAAGGATTGGTCCGGGTCCGATGCCCTCCTCCGAGACCGCATTTTCACCACCATCTCGAACGTCTTCAAGCGCCACGGCGGTAGCGCACTGGACACCCCCGTCTTCGAGCTGCGCGAGATCCTGGCCGGCAAATATGGCGAGGACTCGAAGCTCATCTACGATCTGAAGGACCAGGGTGGCGAGATCTGCTCGCTGCGCTACGACCTGACAGTGCCGTTCGCGCGCTGGCTCGCCATGAACCCCGAGGTTCGCAGCATCAAGCGTTACCACATCGCCAAGGTCTACCGTCGTGACCAGCCCGCCATCAACAAGGGCCGCATGCGTGAGTTCTACCAGTGCGACTTCGATATCGCCGGTACTTTCGACGCCATGGTGCCCGATGCCGAGATCCTGCGCATCGTCAGCGAGGTCTTTGAGGAGCTGGGCTGGAGCGGTCGCTACACCATCAAGCTCAACCACCGCAAGATCTTAGATGGTGTCTTTGCCGTCTGTGGTGTGCCCGAGGACAAGCTCCGGCCGATCTCCAGTGCCGTCGATAAGTTGGACAAGATGCCGTGGGCGGACGTGCGTAAGGAAATGGTCGACGAGAAGGGTCTTGACCCTGAGGTTGCGGATCGTATTGAGAAATACGTTATGAACAAGGGCTCGCGGGAGCTGCTCGACACTCTCCTGGAGGATGAGACCCTCACCGCTAATGCCTCCGCCAAGGCTGGTCTCGAGGAAATGGCCTTGATGATGGACTATCTCAAGGCATTTAATGTACTAGACAAGGTCTCCTTCGACATGTCTCTTGCCCGTGGTCTGGACTACTACACCGGTGTCATCTACGAGGTTGTCACCGAGGGTTCGGCCGGTGTGCAGGCCGACGCCCCAGAGGCACAAAAGGCCGAGAGGTCCGGCAAGAAGAGCAAGTCCAAGCAGCCCACCGAGGACGACGACCGATCCAACGACCCCACCCTCGGCGTTGGCAGTGTCGCAGCGGGTGGCCGCTACGATAACCTAGTCGGCATGTTCCAGCCCAAGGCACAGATCCCCTGTGTCGGCATCTCATTCGGTGTCGACCGTATCTTCTCCATCACCAAGGCACGTATCGAGCGCGAGCAGAGGACTGATGCCCTTCGCAGCAGCGAGGTCGACGCTTACATCATGGCCTTCGGCGGCAAGGGCTTCGGCGGCTTGTTGAAGGAGCGCATGGAAATCTGCCAGAAGCTGTGGAGTGCTGGCATCAAGGTAGACTTTCTATGAACATTGATTCTGAACAAACACTAACATCACTTCAGGCTGAGTTCTCCTATAAGGTAAAGCCCAAACTTCCCCAGCAGTTCAAGGCCGCCGAACAAGGCGCCATCCCCTTCGGCATCATCCTCGGCGAGGACGAGATGGCCGCCGGCAAGTGCCGCATCAAGGAGATGGGTCTGCCTGAAGGACACCCCGAGAAGGAGGGTGTCGAGGTTGAAATCACCTCGCTGATTTCCGAGCTGCGGGACCGTCTTGCGAAGAAGAACCACGGTCTTGTCTCATCGCTGGCGCAGCAGCTGCAGGGCACCATTGTTTAGGCGATTAAACAATTGGGTCTGCATTTTCATTTCGTTTTTTTCTTTAGAGCGTGTTTTTCAGAGGTTTCTCTGTTTTCCCTACTACGTAGATCTCTTGCATTGTCAGGCTTGGAGCTCGGCCTATCAAAAAGGACTGGGGGGTTATTGTTGAGAAAAAAGAACTATATTTCAGAGATGGGTTGATGTCTTTAAGAATTACCAAATACCCAATTCATTGCATTTCCCCTGTGCTTTGGTTTGATACAGGTTTATAATATGGCACAGCATACACTATCAGATCATTCGAGACGATTCAGCCGTCTCGAAAAGACAAAGGCACAACTTAGTATAAGAAATCTTGCATATAAAAGGACTAGAAGTACAATACACAGAGCCATACATATACACACCACAACATCGAAACTAATATCCCTCCGCATTCTTCATCAAGAACGACTTAACAAAAGGCAAGCGATCAACGACGCCGAGTCCAAGACTACGCGCCCAAGCAACCGGCCCTTCACCAGGAACATTATACATCTTATGCAGGAGATCGCAAGCGCCGCCGATCTTCGCATTAGGCAAGTACCGCTCAGACGAGTACCGCTCAAGAGCAAGCAAATCACCGATATCCATGCCATGCGAGACAGCATACTGGATCGTCTTGGAGAGCGACGCAACATCCGCCTGGCCGAGGTTCAGGCCCTGACCAGCGAGGGGGTGAATGACGTGTGCGGCGTCGCCGACGAGCGCAACGCGCGGCGAGACGTACTGCGCGGCGTGTCGGAAGCGCAGCGGGAAGGAAGCGACTGTTCCTGTCTGCACACCTGTTGCTGGGGGAGGGACTTGGGCTGGGAGGGGGGTGTGCTGGACGCGCCAGGCGAGTTCGTCTTGGTGGGATGGGGTGGAATCGGAGGAGGAGGATTGCATGCCCATCATGTAGGTGAGGTCTGTCATGTCGAGACGGAAGGCGGCGTTGACCATGGCGAGGAAGGCCGGGGTGGGGAGGGACTTTAGGTAGGCTGCGTGCTCGGGGGTCGTTGACCAGACGAGGGTGGCGTGGTTGTTTGGCAGCGGGAGGAGGGCGATGGGGCCGCCGAGAGCGGGGAGGAAGCGCTGGTAGGCTGTGCGCTTGGAGGCCGGGAAGGGCGCGGTGGCTGGCTCGGCGAGAGCGAGGGTTGCGACGATGCCGTGGCGGCCGTAGTCCCAGCCTTGGGTGGGGATGTCGGCGAAGGTGCGGACGGGGCTGTTGATACCGTCTGCACCGACGAGGAGGCGGGCCGCGATGCGCTTGGGTGGCTCTGTTTCCGCGGCGGGGCCTGTGGGCTTGACGGTGACGATGGGCCAGGCTGAGAGGTCGGGACCGTCGGGTTTGAGGTCTGAGCCGTTCTCGATGGAGGCGACTGTCGAGTTTGAGAAGAGGGAGAGGTTCTCGTCACCTGAGTCGGCGATGCGGCGGAGCAGGGCGCGCACCAGGTTCGCGTTCTCGGTCATGGTTGCTACAGTGCGCATGTCCTCGAATGGGGATGTCTCCATTGACCAATCGAATGATATTCGGGACCCGGTTTGGCCGTCCCAGACCTGCATGTCCTGGTATTCCTGCACGCGACTAACATCGAGCTTATCGTAGGCGCCAATGCTACGCAGGAACGCCACGGTCGAGGGGGTCAAGCTGCTGCACCGGTTGGAGAACTGGTTCGGTTCGAGGTCCCAGGCTTTGGCTTTGCGGAGATCTTGGGTCTCAATGAGGGCGACTTTGAGCTTTGAGGTGATAGGTGATGCTCCTGTAGTAGCATTGTATCAGTATATGCCCTGCTTATCTGCGTATGGTATACATACGAAGTGCGGCCAATAGCCCTAGGCCTGCCGGCCCGCCTCCAACACAAACCACGTCATATAGGTCGGGGGAATCCGATTTAGATGCAAATTGCCGCCGACCGGCGGTAATGCCATGCCGGCAGGTTGGGCAGACATACGGCCGAAGGACAGCTCTGGAGATTGGACGCATCGTGTTTAGTGATTGGAGGTTGAATCGGATGATCGCCCTCAAGATAGACTTGCAGTGCAAACAGTACAAACACCTGCATACAACCCCAGGTTATACGCTGGTTATGGTAATGCTTCTTCCTTTTTTAATGGCTCTTGATACTATATAAAAGTTCATTTCATCGCTATTTTACTTCATCTATTGAATTTACATGAATATATGAATAAATAAAAAGTTATGATGGTATTGCGGGTATGAAACATAGCGACAGCAACAAATATGAACTGCTATATCAGACTCGGTCTGGAAAATGAATAAAGCATGCTGAGACAAATACCTAAATACCTAAACGCTTCCGACAGCAGCCGAGTCAGAGTCATGTTCAGGCTCAGCTTCGCCTTCCATCTCTGCTACGAACCGCTCCCACGTAGAAAGCACGCCCTGATAGAACTCGATGTGCGAATCGGCAAAGGAGCCAAGTCCGTCTCGGAACTCGACCGCCTTGATACGTTCGAAATCCGCGACTTCGCGGATGACCTCCTCGTCAAACATCTCGGTTGTGGTTTTGGCGGACTCGACCTCGCGGGTCAATTCGTCAATACGGAGCTCAAGCTTCCGCACACGCTCGCGGCGGGACTGTTCGTGGTCAACGCCGCGCATGTCCTCCATTTTAGAGCGGATGAAAGAGGCCGGAGAAGAGGTGAGCGGATTAGAGGCGTAGT